TACATACATATGTACATATATACAATGTACTCGCAGAAATTCAACATCTATGTGAAAATTAGACGATGCGCCAAATGAATTGTCAATTTGCTAGCAATGTTAATAGAGTTATTTGAAGTGCACATAATTACTTAAGGCAAATATTAGAGTCCGAATGAAGTTGGTACGTCTGTTGATGTAGAAGTCGAATATACGAAATTTATTAATATTCGGCCGAATCCAAAAGTGTACGCAGCACTTTTGTTAAAACTACAGTTGAGTTGTCATTTCTGTGGGCATTTCCGAGATCAATTTCCGTCGAGTTCGGCTACTATTTGTCGACGAGGAGCCACACCCATTATCCAAATTCGAATTTTCTGCTAAGTAGTTATTGCAATGATACATTTTGGGCGAATTGGATTCTGTAGTTACTGATTTATCCAAGTTTTCGTGTTTCTGTAAATTACCGGCATATGGAAGGTAACGTGCTTACTACCCGAATCCAAAGATATTCAACAAAGTGATAGAGATAAAGAAAGCGACAAAGGAAAATATTAAACTGCAGATAGAGATAGGCTATGTTTTGTGATGTTACCATACATCAATTCCTCTGGGTCAACTCAACTTACTTTAATTCACCTCAACTCAACTTACCCCATCTAATGTTATTTCACCTCAACTTACCCTAGCTCACCTTAATTTACCTCACCTGAACTCACTTCACTGGTCGAACACTAGTTCAAACAATACTGCAAGAAAATTTGGCGGTGGAAAATGCGTTAACGTAGGATTCTGCATAGTTTGCCAATTGTTAAACAAGGGTAGAACGAAAAAATTCTTGAAGAATTCAATCGAAGTGTGTGGTCGCCTGTTTGTTTTTTTGGAAAAACGGGTATAGTGGGAAAAGTTTCCCTACATAACAGTAGACCTATCACTTCTGAGTGATGCTTCACTATTGAGTCGATGAATCACTCTTCGCCATAACAATGCAAGCTCTCACACTTCGCCGTAAACAACCGCCCACTTGACCGGTTAAAGCATCAAATGAATGAAAAATCGTCAAGTGAGAAAAAGTGTAGTGAATGCCCGAATACGTCGACCGGCTGGACCACTGAGTATAGCAAACTCCCGCGTGTTCCGATTGGCCATATTAATGTGTGCCAATATTACTATGCATTAAAGTTCCACTCGGAGACACCAGGATTGAGTTGTCTAGGGGTCATCAATCGCAAATTACCACCGTTATGAAGTGAAGAAGAAAAAATCTTCGAATTTCAAAAACTTCTTCACGGACATAAGACTTTCGTTAGGTTGTTTAAGACGACAATGGAAATACGCCCTCTGACGACCACCAAACCATAATCTTTGCACTGGAAATCGTGAACGTGAATTATTGGCGAAAATATTGGACCAAAAATTTATTTTTGGGGGGCGAAGGTCGCCGGGGCTTGGAGATTTAAAAATCGCTACTGTTACACGGTTATCAACCCGTCACCAACCTTCCTACCAACACTGTGTCCATAAACTTTTACACAAGGGCCACTATTTTGTTGATATCAAGAAAATAACAAAGCGAAATTGTATTATTTAGATCTGGCGGTAATATAAAACTTCAGCTGATAAAATTATCGACACCACATTTACTTATTTGTACATAATATATAGACATACATACATACATATGCATTTATGTACATTTGTGAAGTAGTACTGTTGCGTATTGTTTGTTTTTTTTTGCGTGGAGATATGGCACAAAAGTTTAGGTTCTAGTGAAATCGAATATTATATACACGGCGCACGTTTTTATGAACTACATATAACGCTTTTTTATTTTCTTTTATAAAAATCGTATTTCCTTCTAAATCCCAATTGTTGCAAAGAGACTTTTAAAAGTTTTAGGATTTTTTAAATTACCGTTATGAGAGGTATGGGAGTGTTCGATTTTGCTTATTTTAAATACCAAAAGTAATTTACCAATTTTCATTAAATTTGTAACCAAATTGTGATGTGCTTGGACGAATTAGGAGAAAAACAGACATAATTAAAAAAAAAAACAAGTAAGAGCAGGCTATGCCGAAGGCTTCATACCTTTCATGAACATCTGCAAATTTTACTTTGACAGATTACTGATTTTGAATACATCTGCATACATCGTTAGAGGAGTTACATACTTATATAAAAAATCGCATCTAAACAATCAGAGGTATGGAAGATATACATACTTTATATGGCACCAATCTAAGTGATTTTCACTGCTATGTGATCGGTATGTAAACCGGTCACACAATTTATTGGGTTTAGTTTCCTACA